GTCTCCCTTCATGATTTCGCTCTTGGCTGCCGCTGCCGGCTTGTCTCCCAAGCTTGTCTCCCTTCATGATTTCGCTTTTGGCTGCCGCTGGCGCCTTGTCTCCAAGCTTGTCTCCCTTCATGATTTCGCATGATTTCGCTTTTGGCTGCTGCTGCCGCCTTGTCTCCCCAAGCTTGTCTCCCTTCATAACTTCGCTCCTGGCTGCCGCTGCCGCTTGTTTCCCAAGCTTGTCTCCCTTCATGATTTCGCTCTTGGCTGCCGCTGCCAGCTTGTCTCCCAAGCTAGTCTCCCTTCCTGATTTCGCTCTTGGCTGCCGCTGCCGCCTCCTCTGCCGCCTTGTCTCTCAAGCTTGTCTCCCTTCATAACTTTGCTCTTGGCTGCCGCTTCCGGCTTGGCTCCCAAGCTTGTCTCCCTTCATGATTTTTTTTTCTTGGCTGCCGCTGCCGCTGTGTTTCCCAAGCTTGTCTCTGTTCCTGATTTCGCTCTTGGCTGCCGCTGCCGCCTTGTCATTTTCTTGCCTGCCTTTGAGATGCTGTTATAAGATGATTTATATAGGTCTTGTTTACCTTTTCCATCCTTTTCCCGGCTTTGAGTGGGATGTCTCCCAAGCTTGTCTCCCGCTCTTGCCATGGTGTCCAACTTTTCTTGAAGTGCTATCTGGGGTCTATGCCGGCATACTTTTTCTAATGGTGCCACCTACAGTGTGTAATTTGCAAATTGTATATATATATATATGTATGTATGTATGTATGTATGTATGTATACTCAATGTATACCTGCATGCCTGCTAGCACTGCTATCGTTGGAAAACATGTGTGCATGATCAGGCAAATGCCACCCATAGATGGCATTACCTCAGGTGCAGGAATGTACTGGCACAGGCGTTCCACCTGCGTTCAAGAACGGAACACATTGGTAGTTGGCACGGTCAGCTCAGCTCCTATGGTTGGCCACGCTGTTTGTGCAATCTACCTCTCCAATTTGCATTGATTTGCGCTCGGCTGGCCACGCGGTTTGGTTGGGCCATCTACCTCTCATTTTTGCCTTGATATGTGCTTGGAAGAACTACCATTTCCATTTTTCTTTGGATGCGCACGCTCACTTTTCCACATTCTTTGTGCCATGATTCCTATTATTTTGGGGTATCCTAATTGTGCTATCCTCTTTGCCCCCCGGTTTCGTTTGTACTTCGGGCAATTTCCCAGATAACGATAGCCATAGGGGTTCTTACTTCTCAATGACTGGGTGCCTTTTGGTTTGCGGCTGCTGTGCGGCTACTGTGCCGCTGCTGCCTTGTCTCAAACTTGTCTCCTAGTTTGTCTCCTTACCTGTCTCCCCACATGTCTGCCTGTGTGATGGCTGT